GTAACGTAGTGTGTGTGTGTGTGTGTGTGTGTGTGTGTGTGTGTGTGTGTGTGTGTGTGTGCGTGTGTGCGTGTGTGTGCGTGTGTGTGCGTGTGTGTGGTTAAATGCATGTCCACAGACACACGCACAAATACAAAAAAAAGACAACGAAAGTAAAGGGAGGTCACGTAAACTAAGGGAGTTAAGGGCCACTTGCCCAGCACCTTCCGGGACGCAAGATGCTGCTCCGCCACAAACGAGGGCCCGGCCACCCGGTCAATTCTACAAACACACAGCAGTCGGCAGAAACAAGGGAAAAAAACGGACAAAAACAAAAACAAAGGCAAAATAAATAAACAAAACAAGAAACCCAAAAAAAAAGAAGGATAATAAGGCAGTAACCGGCAAATAAACTGAATTTCTGAAAAAAAAAACATCTATCGCTCAATATAAATAAATATATATATAAAATGACAGACCTTACATGCTTCGTTTGCAAGATGCACCCATTCCGCTTCCTTCACGCGCGGTTAGAGTCAAACCGACTGATCTCTGTTTCACGCATTCAGGAAATTCGGTTTGCGCTTCTCCAGAAACGCACTCATGCCCTCCTTCTGGTCCGCGGTGGCAAAAGTAGCCTGAAAGGTACGATTTTCGTAGGCAAGACCCTGCGCCAGCGTTGTCTCCAGGGCCTTGTTAACACATTCCTTCACCAACGACACCGTTAGTGTACTGTTCAAAGCGATTTTTTCCGCGATTGCAGTGGCAGTTGGTAGAAGAGCCTCATGCTTTACGACGCGGGATACCAACCCGGCGCGCTCCGCCTCCTCTGCCGTGTATTGGTCTCCCGTAAGCAACCACTCCATTGCCTTGCTCTTCCCAATGAGCCGCGGGAGACGCTGCGTCCCACCGGCGCCTGGAATGGTCCCAAGTTTGACCTCGGGTTGCCCAAAGATGGCCTTTTCGCTGGCAATAATGATGTCGCACATCATCGCCAACTCACAGCCGCCACCGAGGGCTAAGCCGTTCACTGCGGCAATAACCGGCTTGCGGGCATTCGCAACCATTTCAAGGCCTTGGAGCATGTTGCGAGTGTAGAACTCGACAAAGGTCTGGTTTGCCATGGCCTTGATGTCAGCGCCTGCCACAAAGGCTCGCCCCTCGCCAGTGAGAATCACAACAGACACCGATGGATCGGCGTCGCAATTAAGCAAATTTTCCGCCAGCGCATTTGACAAATCGTAATTCAGTGCATTGAGCTGCTTTGGTCGATTTAGCGTCAATGTCACCACGGCTCCTTGTCGGGCACATTTTACCAGCGGATCCATGGAGTTAAGAAGAAACAAACTCTTGCGCAGCATGATATATTGAGATGTTACAAACCAAAGATACTCGCACGGCCCCTAGAGAGAGAGAAAGAAAGAATTAAGCACAGGTGCAAAGAGGAATACGTAGACGATACATGTAAACTACTTTCTGATAGACGGAATAGACTTCAGCTCGTGTCTTTCCTTGCGGCAGTGAGAAGGTAAGCAGTTTCACGCACACGCAGAGAGAAAGAAAGAGAGAGAGAGAGAGCGAGTGCGCGCGAGAAAACCAAACGAATCTCCTTTCGTTTTCACAATGGCGACCTTCAGGACTCTTCGGTAATCCCTGCGCTGGCGTCGGAGTTGCTGCTTGAATGCACCATCCACACGTCACAGCTGGGGAGACGGCAACAGCGGCAGGGACGAATCGCAACGACACTTCTGGTAGTGTTGCGCGCCACGCTGCCTCTGAATTGTTGCAAAATCACTGCGGGCGCAAGATCTCCTCTCGGCGCCGAATTCTGGAAAGCTGCAGCTCCGCAGTGCAATCCAGGCGTCTGTGGGGCGCCACGAGCAAGCAGCCTCCCGTTCACTCAGTTGCTTCAATAGACAGAAACAAACGACCCCCCCCCCCAAAAAAAAAAAAAAGACAAACGAACTCCCGACGTAATTGCGCCGTCACTGCGTCCATGAAACAACTGAACACACACGAATGCGGCGGACAAAACACAGTTCAAAAGAGTCTAAATAGTTTTTTTTATTTGGTGGGGAAAAAAAAGGAAAGATAAAAGTCAGAAAAGAAGTAAGCACGATTTATTCTTTCTCCATCGCCTGCGCTGTCTCGCGCGAAGCGGCCCCCCCAGCCAAAAGGGGCGGTTTCCAAAACGAGATCGGCTCACCATCTATTAAAACATTAGGCCCCAACGAAGGGGCATTGCTGCTAAAAAAGCGTCCTTCGCCCTTCCCCCGCGCGTTGAGGGGAAATGTGGAGGGGTGCCGGGCGGGCAACGCCCTCCAGACGCACCGTTTGCGGTAATATATATATTTGATAAAGCAAGAAGGGCGAAATTCGGCACACCCCGCCGAACACACACGTAGGACCAACGAATTCCTTCTGCA